AATAATATTAATAATTTTGTGCACAAAACAAACTTTTTGTTCATTGAACCATCAGGAAGCAAAGGTGTCATTATCTCAGCCACCTATGTGGACAGTTTGTCATTGTTTGACATCACCATCATTCCTGACTTTGAATGACTTTGAATGTATATGCTACCACTAAGTAATCATTTTCTTACACTTACTCACACCAAGTACTTAAAGTAAAAAATATTACATACCATTAATACAGTGAAAAAGTTATGCAATCAGGATATATAAGTAAGTATCACAATAGCATCTCCAGAAAACCCAAATCAACCATTAAGCAAGAACAGGTAAAAGGGGCTTAAAGGGACACTGAATAATGCTGTGCACCTGCATTTTGATGGTGACCCATCACATGATGTCAGGTATGAAATGCTTCTCTTGTCACATCATGTCAGTACTCAAAAAGTTTCAGATTTTGAAGCGTGTAGATTTCAAATTTTCAGATTAAGGATGCTCAACCCATGCTACCTAATAGTTGTTTTCAGCATTATTTTAAAACGTAACTCAGAATCCGTGAGAATAATGGGATACTTTCCCCAGATGGCATCCCATCAGCCAACCCACTTTCAAACTTTTATTGTTGTTATCTCTGCAGTTACATGTAGAGAACCAGTGTTATGTTTTATACCATTCATAATTGAAGATTTATTTAACATATAGGATTCTACCCTTACTGAATTCAGGCATTCCTTATTGTGTCCTATATAGCCATTGGCAAATATCAAGCATTTCAAACCTTTTTTTTTTTAACTGCTGGAAGCGCATACACTGAGGGGGAATTTCCTAATACTTACTGCGTGCTAAGCATTGTCCTTGGGCTTGTGGAAATACCAAAGAAATATTACAGCATCTGATCTAAAAAGTACTTAGATTAGTGGAGAAGATAAGGTTCATGGAATAATTTTAAAATAACATAAGATATTAAAGACAAGAAGATGAAAATCAAAAAAACAAAAAAAGATGTCTCAGATAAGTTCCAGGCAAGAAAATGGAAGTAATCAAATGCCAGGGAGCCTCAAGGAGGCAATAGTGCTGAGTAGAAAGGCGATAGCCAGAGAGCTAAGAATGTTTCTAGCTCATCCTGTTTGTCTTTTATACCTGCCCAATTCCCCTTTCATCTTCCCCTTAGACCCTCACTATTTTTGCCCTGCCTTCCTACAGGTACATATAGTGTGTCCTTCCTACCCCCAAAAGTCTTAGTCCCATCATTGAAAAACTCAGTTAACCCTTCAGAAATCTTTACATTTTTACAGGCAATATTTATCAGCAAAATATCTTCAGAGAGGGACTTTAGGTTTTGCAACAAGTTGTTAAAGAGATATTTGGAGCTCAAGAAACTTCTTGGACCTCTCGATTTACAACAATAAATAACAACCTAATCCCATCTACTCATATGGAACCTAATCCCATCTACTCATATGGAAGAAATGCACAATGTGAACTCTTCTATAATTCATAGAAACAGATTACCACCATAAAACCAAGAGTTTGGGTTAAAAAAAACCTAAGCCATCATAGTAACCAATTTTTTGTAATTATTGTGAAAATCATTTTTTCACATCATTGCCATTTTATGGATTTGAAAGTATATATTAGATAAAGGAATGTTAATAGAGCTTTTAAAATAAACATTTTAATTTTTCAAAAAGCATTGGGAACAAATTCATTTTATTATTATTTTATTTTATACAGACGCCATTACCATTACCATCTAATGGTGGAATTCTGATTGCTGAAACAGGCAGAGAGAAGGCATGTTTTAGAATGGAGACCTCCTTTTTTCCACTCAGCTTAAATCACAACTAATGACTCCCTCTGCCATTCCCAGAGTGTCAGCATATGCATATTCTTGCTGGAATTGATTCATATCCTTGGCCACACACATACCCTGCATTTAGGATATGAACTATGCAGCCACATCTGTTCAAATGAACTGAACCCTCCTTGGTGTGGTTCAGTTGGCCAATGCACCAAGCTAACCTGGGAATCTAAAGAAGTTGAACAAGTTGCTCAAGGGCACAATAAGTGAGGTCAAGCATAGAAATGAAAATAGATTCCCCAGGTAGGTTCTCTTTCCAGTAGAGTACACTATGTGTCTGGTGTATGGTTGGCAAATAAGTGACTCTAAACTGTCTCATCTTTAGCCATCGTCTGTAATCACATGGATCTGCCCTGTAGTAACACCTGTGTGAGGAGTCGGAATTCTCAGCACAGTGCTTCGGGAAATTGAAACTAATCCATTGATGTTGGCTCATAATAGGAATTTAATTCAGGCAGAGTTAAATACTAAACAGGATGGTGAGGCAAGCTAGAAATTAACAAGAGTAGCAAGATACTTCTACAATCTCAGCTAAGCTGAGAAAGGGAGAAAGTGGCTTTATAGATCCCAGGAGTCAGGGCCACCTGTGGGAGCTGGAGCCACAGTGGGACCTGGGACCACAGAGTGGGGCGATAGGAGAAGCTAGCACGGTGGAAGGGATGCAGCCACTGTCTGAGATGCCAACAGAGGAAAGAATTATTCTTGTTTCTCCTCTGCATCTACCCTCCAGTTCCCACCAGCACTTCCTATTGACCAAACTTAGTCAGCAGCCAGCTGGCAAGAGGGCTTGGGAACCAGGCTCAGCCAGGGTGGGGAATGGATTTGAGAACAAGCTGGCAAATGACCAGCACAGCAGTCTGCATGCACGGCATAGTGTGTTAAGATTATTAGTTTTACTTAATCCATAGCATACACTGTTATTTTTGACTGCAAAAGTTGAATACCACACTCATAAAAGTTTTGAAAAACATCAAAAATTACCAAGAACAAAGTAAAAAATCAATCATACTACTACTATGAAAGAGATCACCATAATCATTTGACATATTATTCCTGCATATTTTTAAACAAATGTTTTAATAAATTTGGAGTCATGCTATATATATAGTCAATATTCTTTTTTTTTTTTCACTTGGTAGTTTCTCCCATTTGATTATTCTTCCAAAGATTTGTACCAGCTGTACCATGTGTGGTGTTGTGGAATACCATAATTTATTGTATCATTTCTTCAGTTAGTGAGTATTAGATATGGCCATGTTAGACTAATGGAGAACATAATAGTCAGAATTACCAGCAGTCTATGATTCTATTTTTAAAGTTTTGGTCATAAAAAACAGAACTCTAAGGACAGATGATGGCAGGAAATCTGAAGATAAATTAGACCTAAAAAAGGATATAAGTTAAGTAGTTCAAAATTTTACAATTTCTGTTTAATTATTTTTCATTTCTATACTGTCATTTTTAGTAAAAAGGCAATAATAATAAATTATAAATAATGAATAGAATATAATGTGTTATTTACATTAAAATTTCATACCTAGACAAATATATCATTTGTTTCAGAATTTTCTTTGTGATATACAAAATATTGTCTAGAAACATTTCTATTTATTTTTTTAATTACCAGGTTATGGCCTGTACTGTCCTCAACAATAGAATTACCATAATTTATCAGGAAATGATGGTACCTATCTAGAGGAAAGCAAGGTCTATGGATTTAATTGCTGCAGTTGAGATCTGTGATTTATACCCCAATTCAAGGGCAAACAGCATCTATTTACACGCTAAGATTTGTGATTCTTTTTCATAGTGTGGGACTCTTTCTACCTGACGCCTTTTACTCATCCCGTCACTAACTCCTCCATCTTTCACTCCCAATAGCCTGGAGAGGACAGGAGGTGAGAGACTGAGGATAGTCACTCAGCTATTCTTTTGATTGATGTGATCTTTCCCTGAGTCTTCTCTCCCTCTCGGTCCTTCTGATAAGAACCACCAGGCTTCTGAGAGCGAGGAATGAACCTGCTTTATTAGCAGCTTCAGTGGTGACTAAGAGTATCAGAAGTGCTCAGTATCAGAGCTCAGAGGGGGTAACTTCCTCACACAGTATGCGTTGTTGTAGCCTGAATGAAATATGGCCTCGCCCAGCCTGATGTTTCACACAAGGATTTGACAGCTTAGAAATGCTGAAGTTCACAGGTGTATAATTTGTAGCCAGTGAATAACAAAGATGCATGCTAATTTCCAACCAGCGTAGCAGTAATCCTGCTAGTAAACTAGCAATTGTAGCATAACCTTAAGGTTAATCCTTATGTGTCCTTAAATTCATATTTTACATCAGTGTAGATGCCACTTCTGCCAAGAAATCTGCCTTGACAGTCCCCCAGGGAGAGGGAGGGACCCTTTCTTTGTGTTCCTTGTACTGGCCTCTAGCTTGCTCTCATGAATGTGATCATTTATACATGCTCATCTAGACATAGGTACCTTGATAACAGGACTCCAGATTATTTAGCTTTATAGACCTAGAGCACAATCATCCCAGACATATAATTGGTGCTCAATCAAATGTTTGTAGAATTAATGAACAGCATGTCCCAAATAAAGATTATATCTGTTCATTATTAAATGTGTCAGCTCCTTGAAGATAGGAACCAACAGAATTTTAAATTTAAACTTCTGTTGTCAGAAAATTCTTTCACGTATAGGCGAGAATTCCATAACTAGATAGCATTGCATTCATTATCACCCTCCCCCGCCCCCACAGCCATCCCCACTATTTGCAGGTTACATAAAATCGTTTCAGTGCAGTCTCTCAGGTCACTCATTTCAAATTTCTCTCCTCACTGTCTGGAATTCAGGGTCTTCATTAATACTCTTTGCTATTAGGTTAGATTTTACTGAAATGCAGTAGAACCTCTGTGAGTTGACCATCCAGAGGACTATAACAATATGGTCAACACCCAGAGATGGCCAACATGAGGAATTAGGCCTACTGTACTGACATATTTGTGTGGTGAATGCCCAGGCTATGAAAATTAGGTCAAGGTAAGGAGATGGTCAATAAAGAGAAGTGGTCAACTATGGAGGTTCTACCATATTTCTAAGTAATCATTGAAATTTTAGCAGTGATCTCAGCTGTGGTAAAAAAAAAAAAATGCAATAGATAATAGAAATCATTTATTTTTATTGTTCAGCCTTTTTAGGTGCTAAGAATGAGTGAAGTCTACGCCTTTTGCCTGGGTGTATTTATTGTTGTTATGATGTGTTGCTGCATAGAAAATTACTCCAAATGTAGTAGCTTGAAGCAAGAAATACTTATATCATGTAGTTTCCAAAGGTCTGGAAGTCAAGAGTAGCTTAATTGGTCAGTTCTGGCTTTCTCATAAAGATGCAATTCAACTGTCCATCAGGGTTACAGTAATCTGAAGACCTGGCTGGGCTGACGGATCTACTTCCAAGGTAGATCATTTACATACTGACCAAGACGGTGCTGGCTGAGTGTTAGTTGGAGCTTCGGTTCCTGTCCACCTGGACCTGTGCATAGTGTTGCTTGAGTTTCCTCTCAAGATGGCAGATGTCCTCCATCAGGAGACTGATCCAATAGAGAGCAAAGAGAAAGCCCCACAATGCATTTGTGTCCTAATTTCAAAATTACACACTGTCATGTCCACTACAGTCTAATTGTTTGAAGTAAATTATTAACTTCAACACTCAAGGAGAGAGAACTAAGCTCCTTCTGTTGAAAAGAATCTCAAAGAATTTATGGCATATTTTTAGACCTCCACAATTAGTTATCAAACAAGTAGCACAAAATGTTTAAATATAAACAAGACCAGGCATTCCTCTGTGCATTCCCTCAGGTTTTCCTTTAACTTTTAAAATTCATTATTGCAATTAAAAGCTTGTAGGAGGTGGCATGTATGGAAGAAGGTGCATACTTCCAATGTTAATTCTCATTTCCCTCCATTTCTTTCAGGTCCAGGAAGAAAACAGTCCCTGACATTTATATCTGCAACCTGGCTGTGGCCGATCTGGTCCACATCATTGGAATGCCTTTTCTTATACACCAGTGGGCCCGGGGAGGAGAGTGGGTATTTGGGGGGCCTCTCTGTACCATCATTACATCTCTGGATACCTGCAACCAGTTTGCCTGTAGTGCCATCATGACCGTGATGAGTGTGGACAGGTAAGTGAAGAGACTTTGAAATGTCTTGCTATAATTCAGAAGCACCTGCCCTGCTTCAAAGTCATTCCAATCTAAGCAACATCAGTGCTGGTTTATAATACAAAGCTCTTCTTCCTCTGTTTGTTTCATTGCGGGACTCATTACTGAAAAATATTTTATTTAGTATTCATACTGGTCTGTTTTTTTAATGGAAAATGTAAAACACTAAAATATCCTTTTTTCTAATATTCTTTGGCCTTAGTTTTGTTTGCAATTCACTGCAAGGAAAAAAGATCATCAAATCATGAAATGTCAGACACCAGAATAAACGAACTCCTTCCACCACATTTGCTATAAGGAAGCTGAGGCCCAGAGAAGTGAGGGGATTTGCTACCAACACACAGAGATTTCGTATCTGAGCTGAGAACTGGCAGGCCTCCCCACTCCTTGTTCAGGACCATTTCTAGTCTATTCATTGTCTCATGCACTTGGTATCACCTGGCAGCTCTAAGGAATCAGTAGAGTAGATATAGGTTCCTGTAACACTACAAAATAATTGACAAGTATCAGGAAGACCATCTTTCACAATTACTCTTCTAATGAGTTAGTGTAAATGCTGCCATTTTACATCTTTAGAAATTTATTCCACTGTACCCTAGAGTGTACCATAGCCCTTTCACCAGCCATGTAAGCAAATATTATCTGAGAAAATGATGGTGACAGTGAGTACTTATGGAGCCAATGAGTGGTGGAGAGCCCAGTTCAGACCCAGACTATCTGACTCTAGAGACGACAGCTAGTTTGCCCCACTGTTGGGCCTCTCCAGGAAGCATGCAAGCTAGGATGTACCCCACATCAATGCCAGGACCTCCACATCGGGTCCTAGCAGCTCTTCCCAAACAGAAATAGGGCCAAATGTCAACCATAGTATTCCCAATGGTGAGACTGTCTTTAAGACCAACCCACTTAAAATCTATATCTCCCTCTTCCCTAACCCAGCCCCAGCTCAACACATTTGATAACCCTCGCTCTGATCCACTTTTCCCTTTCCTTTGCTCCAGACGTATTACATAATTCATTTCATGTCTGTGTGTTGTTATTTGTGTATGTGTTGTTTACTGTCTAGTTCCCCCTATGCCTCAAGTGGAAATTTTTCCAGGGTCTCTGTCTACTCATACATCCCAGATGCCTGTGTAGCAGTGCCTGAGCTGTCTCCTTCACCTTCCAAGTGACCTTTCAGGTGGGGAAATCACAAGCCTTTCTTTAAATGAATAAACAAAGGAACGAACAACAAGGTTCCTTTAATCATTCATTCGCTCTGACAAACATGAATTAGTAATGGTAATATTTTATGCATTTTTATATCCTATTGATTTTCTACAAGAAAGTTTTCAAAATATAGAATGTACTTCTGTATTAATAATTAACACTACATTTTCAAATCAATAAACTGTATAGATCTGGTTAGGTCAACCAGTGCTGTGTCCTGCAAAAATTCCAGTGAGCTTGCTAGGATTCCAACACCAGGGAGAGGAGCCTGTATGGTCTAGGCCTCCTGTAGAAAAGCAACCTAAAATATAGGTTATACCAACAGTAATCCCATTCTTGGGGATGATAAAAGCTTCTTTATACTTTGTACCTTGGAAGTAGGAAAATATTGGCTTTTTTGGAAAAAAAAATAGAGAGGTATTTGTGCTTCTTCTATAAGCCTCACACTGCAAATAAAGTGATCAGGAATTTTCTGCCTTGAAACAGACCAGTGGTATATAGTTTCTGATGTTGAAAGATTTATTTTCTCTGTGTACATGTAGGTGTATGTGTGTGCATACACACATATGTGACACACACTCAAATAGCCTTTTCTTTGTCTTGTTTTACTCCAATGGATACAGTAGGCCACAATTTTATTTTCTATTTAAGATATTCAACCCCTTTCCTTCTCCCAGTCCCAGAGAATCAGAAGATTCTATAAAACTGGATCTTTTCCTCCCCATCATTCCTTGTAATTCTAATTCTACTAAACTCATCAAATTTCAGCAAAATAAGCAAGTTTGTAAAAGAGAAATTAGGGTCTGCTTTGTCAGGCCACAACTTAATGTCAGTGCCATCAGTATGCTTTATTGTTTATGTATTTAAGTCACATCATTTGCCCATTTAATGGATCAAACATTTCAAGGGTTTTCTATCATCCTTTCATTTTTTGTTCTCTGATTAGTAATATTTGTGTGTAGAATACTTAGTAGTGGCTTCATAGCTCCATAGCAATAGAAAAAATTGTAAATATCCAGGATATGAAAAGCATTCACCTCCAATGAAAGCTACCTACACTTTTATTAGTGGCTACTTTCATGAATAAATTCTCTAGAACACCAAAAGTCAATAAGTCAGGTGAAAATTTTCCTATTTGTTCATTTGTTCATTTAACAAATATTGATTGAGTGTGGATAATGTCCCAGAGACTTCCAGACACAGACATTACAGGGGCCTTAAGCTAACAGTCAAGGCTCCTGCCCTCATGAGGCTGCCATTCCCGTGGTATGGACAGACATTGTGTGAAGAGTCACACAAGTTAATGTGTATTTCCACACAGTGATGCACATTAACAAGGAAAAGAAGACTCTCTGAATGATTTGCATTTATAGTCACAGGGCCGAATATAGAGCGTGAGGAGTGGGTCTCTAAGAGGGAGAGAGTTAAACAGGGAACTGAAGGAGAGCAGGGGAAGTGGAGGCAGATCCTGCCAGGCACGTGGAACAGCGTGTGTCTGACCCTGAAGGAGGGAAGAGCTTGGAGGAAGTCAAGAAAGAAATGGCACAAGCTCCAACTCGAGCCCCCGGCAGGGCCAGGTAAAGAGGATCTTGTGGGTCATGATAAGAATTCTGAGTTTTATCTGAATAAACATGAAAGCCATTGAAAGGTTTTAACTGAGGAGGGCGGCTATCAGAGAAGACTCCCTAATTGCTTGATGCCACAACTCCCTTATCCCATAATCCCAGATAGAATGATGACTGAGCTGCCATGCAATCACCTCACCCACTTGCTCAGCAGGGAGGGCTGGAACTTTCTCTCCTTAGCCACAGGAATGCACATGCAATGTGCAAGGGAGGGTGGCTGAGGAGCCCTGGCCAGAAACCCCTCCCAACATGCTGGAGGTCCCTCCACTGAATACAAAATGTTCTGTCCCTGGTACAAAATTGAAAGAACAAGAGAACAGGAAATCTTCCATTCTATGAGTCTTCACCAAGTAGCTTTACAAAACCTTGAAGAAAATTAAGTGAGCATTTTTCCCATTTGTTTAATTTCCTGTAGTACTATTTTCTCCCCACTCTAACCCCAATGAAGATGCACTTTCACATGTAGCCTTCCTTCTGAATCTGAGCTCTCCTTTTCATTCTCCAGCTTGCAGTTAGCTCTGAAAAATTCTTCTTGTACTTTCTGGAGGACCAAACCAACTATATCTGAAACATCAGAATTTCAAGAGTTATTAATGATTATGCATTTTTATTTCTGGATCTAAAATGGAGAAAAGAAAGAGAAAACCCTTTCCTATGAAATTAGCCCATTCCTTTGGCTGCTGGCCTAAGTCCCCTGAGGAATTTGCATTGTCTGTAGTAATCACACATGTTCATCCCCACTGTGATTTCTGTGAAGGGAACCTCCAAGGGCCCAGGGACCTTACTATAAAGCAATCTGAGCAAAATATTTTTTTTCTACGTGCCTGGACCTCATACTTCTGAGGGACTCTCCTATCACCCCCACACTTTCCTCCTTCCTGCTTCCACATGAGTAAATCCTGTTGGGGAGAGGATCTCACTTCCTCCTGCAGGAAATCCTTGTTCAGAGGCAAATTTTTCCAGAGCTCCACTTACAGGGGAAGGACCTTTGTAAAGAAAATGTGTGCTACAGAATTTTACGTTATCAGTGTGGTCATAGAAGGAACATCATTTCAGTGGGTGGTTTATTCAGACTTGCAGGGTCAAGAGTCGTTTTCTCTACAGGTACCAGGCAGCTCGTAAGAAATAAAACTTTCTTTTAAATAGAAGTTTCTTTTGCCTTGATAGAGGTGTGCTCTGGGGAAGATAATAATGCTAATAATTTACTCTTGTGGTGAACCTTTCATCCTAGGAGCTCAGCGCGTTTATTGATTGTTACAAGCCCTTCTTAACTGGCTTTGCAGGTACTTGGCCCTAGTCCAGCCATTTCGACTGACGAGGTGGAGAACAAGGTGCAAGACCATTCGCATCAATTTGGGCCTCTGGGCAGCTTCCTTCATTCTGGCATTGCCTGTCTGGGTCTACTCAAAAGTTATCAAATTTAAAGACGGCGTCGAGAGTTGTGCTTTTGATTTGACATCCCCTGACGATGTACTCTGGTAAGTTGTTAAAACGTAAGAAAAAA